TCATTCTCTCTGTCTCAAATAAATAAATAAAATCTTTAAAAAAAAAAAAAAGAAGATGACATCTGCCTTTAACCGGAGACAGGGAGCTAACCTGTCTATCTCCATCTCAGCTCTGGGCTGAAAAAAAAACAACTCTCTTGTACTATAGGATTTGGGAATGGAATTTAATCTACCCACATTTACAGAGTAGGGGAAAGCTATATAAATAAAGTGGCCCGAAATAATGAGAACCTTCAGTTAGGGAAGAAGTAAATATAAATTTGCCCTGGAGAAAAACAAAAAAACATCATCTCACGCCTGTCAGGATTCTCCCTGATTACAATCAGCCTAGTATAAGCCCCCCAAAATTGCCAGACACACGAGGAAACAAAATGTCACGGCTGAGAACAAGCAGAAACACCAAGCAACAGATTTTATCTCCCATAGTTTCAAATATCAGCATTATGAGATACATAATGCAAAATAACGAAGTATAAAATCTTAATTTTTTTTATTTTTTAAAGATTTTATTTATTTGTCAGAGAGAGAGTGCGGGCACAAGCAGGGGGAGCAGCAGACAAAGAAGCAGGCTCCCCGATGAGCAAGGAGTCCGATGTAGGACTCGATCCCAGGACCCTGGGATCATGACCTGAGCTGAAGGCAGAAGCTTAACCGACTGAGCCACCCAGGTGTCCCAGTGTAAAACCTTTAAAGAAGTAAAAATGGAATCAAACACTGAACGATATAGAAGAGACATTCAAAAGTGACCAGATAGATTTGAAAAATCAGTGGAGGTTAAACAGTAGATTAGACATAGATGAAGAGAGAATTAGTGAGCTAAAAGATAGATGTGGACAAATAAGGAACGAAATGGAAAGGATGAAAGATAGACTCACTAGGCATAAAGAAGAGAGTAAAAAGACCTGCCATATTTTTAATTGGGTTTCTTGAATGAGAAAATGGGGAAGTGTCATAATTTCAAAATCTACACTATCTGCAAATGTCCCAGAGTTTATGAAGGATATTAGTACCTCTGATTTAATAAGTACCACATGTCTCAAGCAAGCTAAATAAAAGAAAACCTATACACAGAATAGCATCATGAAACTGCTTAACACAAAAGAAAAATGGAAAGAACAGACATATCACCTATAAAGGAACAACAACTTAAGTGACAACTGATTTCCCAATAGCAGCAACATAAACCAGAAAATGATGAAATAGTATCATCAACACATTGCAAAAAAAGATAACTATAAATCAAAACCTCTATTTCAATTATTAGAGTAAAATAAAGACATTCCACAAAATCAAAAAATACAGTTTGTTGTGAACAGACATTACTAAAGGAATTTCTAAAAGTTGCATTTTTTTAGAAGTGCAATGACTCAGAAAGAAGGAAGGAAGGCCTGAAATGCAATAGGAAATGGGGAGCAAGGAAAATGGCAAACTTGGGTTAATCTAGACAAACAATAACTATAAAATCAATAACCATACTGTCTGACTCATAGGGTTAAAAAGCAGATAGAACTAAAATGCTTGACAAAAATAACATATAGAGAGTAAAATCTAAATTAAAACAGCCAACTTTAGAAAATGTACCATGTAAATCTGAGCATTTACACATTTTACTACCCACTAAAAAATAATTAACTATAGGTACCCACATCAAGGTGTATACATCTCATAATCATGAGTCGAGTTGGGGGAAAAAGTCTCAAAATATCACTTAAACTAAGTATAAAAACATGCCAAATAAAAAATTATTTGGGGATACATACTGAAATGGTAGAATTATAATGGAATATTCAGCATAGTCATGATGGGAAGGGACAAAAAGTTCTTTAAAGGTGTATTAATGTTTGTTAAATTAGATGGTAGTTACTTGCTTATTCATTTTACTGCCCTTTAAGTCATATTTATATAACACTTACTTTTACATATGTGAAATCGTTTGTTTTTAAAAAGTAATAATAATAAAGTAATCTAAATCCTTATTGTTGTAGATGCCAACTGCCCAGGCAGGATGCTCTGCACTGGGGACAGTGGCTGAGGGAATGGAAGCTGAATGAGTTGCCCCTTAGGAGCCCACTGCAGGGAACCTGAGGACCATGAATGCTCTGAACCATCCAGGAACATGACCATCCCAGCGAACAAATGTCCGTGAGGCCATGCAGGTCGTAAACTCAGCAGTGACCCCAAAATATCACGGTCAGAAGCACCAGTGCTGGTGGACAGAGCCGACTTTCCAAGTCTCTCACGTCTCAAGGTTTGGAAGCAAAAACCCTGAGAAAACCCCCAAGGTTCTTGTGTAATGTAAGGGTAGTGGGCGGGGGGAGCCTAACTAATAAGGGCATTTAGGGACCCATGGGTTAACTGGAAGAAAATGAAGGCTTTGTGTGCCAAGCTGGTGCAGGCAGATGACTCTAGCCAGGTGCATTTGAGGTAGGGCTGGCTCTCTCCAGCACCTCTGCGTGGGCTCGGGCAGCAGCTGCAGCACGGCCGACCTTTCTTGGCTCCTCCTTGGCTGGGAAGGGCCACGTCGGGAAATGAGGGGTTAGGGCAGGCAGATAATTCACAGCTAACAGAGGTTCCTCCTTTTCGCAATATCCAAATTGGAGCCATAAAATCTTCTTCACAGGGAAAAAAAAAAAAAAGGACAAATTCCTATTCTTCGGAGAATGGCCTGAAGCTGATAATTTTAGCATTACGTATATATTCCCTTTTAAGGGCCTGAACAAATCCTACAAAATCAGGGATTTATTATTTTAATTGTAGTTGCTCTGGCTCACACTTTAGTGTTTGGCCTTTGTTGCAACCCATCCCGCACAGAAAGCGTCTGCCATTTTTGCCTTCCAGAAGGATGAAGAGTCTCACAGGGACTTCTGAAGTGCTAGTGCTCTGTACCAGGGGTGGTGAGGTGCAGGACATAAGCAGAGCATGTGAGCCATCACCAGTTTGGATTCCTCTCTGCTGCCTGTATCACCACCCAAAGCAGAATCAGTCTCAGGCTTGCTGAATCTTAGGTCAGTTCTTTCCACGGTGGCTTGAGTGTGGGCTTGGAGAAGAAAACATAACTCCGTTCTTACAATCAGGTTGATATTTATCAGGGTGTGGTCATGGCTAAAGGCAAAATGTTAGAGCCCCTGTCATTCAGCATAGAGCATGAACTCCATTTATTTTTCCAAGAACAGGGTTAAAATCTCTCACCCAAAATAACCAAATTATATGAGACTTTTAATAAAGTTTACTTGCTTCATCCTGATAAGACATGATTTATTCCACTCTATTTTCTAATTGTAAAATCCAGTGAAAGTGAACCTTGCAAATTACCACTTTAAACAATATAAAATGATCACTCTTTTTAAGAAGTATGCACTAAAAATCTTACTTCTCTGCTTTGAATATGGTGATGCACTTAAATACAGTATTTGCTAATGGTTTTCTTCTTCCTTGAATCATGGCCAAGAAGAATTTTTTTTCCCAGAAAGTTTTATTTTCTTCTTCAGATTTAGGTGAGAAAGTGCTCACCTGGGGAAGTAAATCACAGGGATAAAAGGTGCAGCCCAGGGAATAGAGAACATGGTATTGTAATAGCAAGGTGCGGTAACATGGTCGCTACACAGCACGTCATAGAGAGTTGTGGAATCACTATGCTGTACATCTGAAACTAATGTAACATGGTGTGTCAGCTGTACTTCAAAAAAAGTAGGAAAAAAGGAAAGTGCTCACCATTTCTGTGCACCAAGAACCCAGGTCTTTCAATGGAGCCTTGAAAAAGTGGCAGTGGATGAACTCAGCAAGCAGGGCTACTTCATCGCTGTTTCTGATCCGTATGCTGTGGCTTTTGAGCTGAAGGTCACAAGGAAAGATATTGCTGGTGAGCTACTAGATCAATGTTTTAATCCCCTATTCAAAGGTTTCCTTTTTTTCTTCATAGGAAATCAACTATGACCATATATTGAATGCCAACATAAGGACCAGGAATGGGGTTTAGGGGAAGGAACTAATGGTACCCCCTTAACATGTCAAAGTTACCAACAGACACCCATAGTCCAAGGGCAGACAAATGAGCCTTTTGAGCCACTGCCCAAGAGATAACCAGATGAGCTTACGAACCTGAGAAGTTAGTCAACATTACTAGACTCTACGAGTCCCATTTGGCCCCAAAATTTGTATTGGTTTTTGCTTTTCTCAAAGAGTCTTTCAATGTCTAGTATAGATATCTAAATAGAATAAGTGTACAAAATATTTTTGATTGATTACTACATTATCTGATATCACTAGATAATAAGTCGTAAGTTACCAAAAATAATTATACTGAGAGGTTTTCTCATAAATATGCTGTTATACACCATCGTCCTTTCCCTCTCTTTTCCACCCAAACAATAGTAGGCTGAGAGACAGAGAGAGAGGTGGCAAGTAAAGTTTAAAAACAATTAGGACACGAGGACAGATGCTAATTTTTCTTCCCTCAAGACAAATCAGTATTTAAAAACTTTTTTTTAAAGCTTTATTTATTGCAGAGAGAGAGCACGAACAGGGGAAAGGGCAGAGGGAGAGGGAGAGAGAATCTCAAGCAGACTCCATGCTGAGCATGGAGCCCGATGCAGGCCTCAGGCTCACAACCCGGAGATCATGACCTGAGCTGAAACCAAGAGTCGGTTGCACCACCCAGGTGCCCCAGTATTTGAAAACTCTTGCATACACTGTAGCTTAGTGGTTTGATCTCCAACACTGTACAGATTTGTGTCTGAGTCCCAGTTCTGCCACTAACCCTGACATCAGGCAAGTCACCTATCTTCTCAGTGCCTCAGTTTCTCCAACTGTAAGACATAGATCACAGTGAGCTAATGGGGGTTATGCATATGATTTCAAAAATGTTTTTATGCCAAAGGCATTTAGTGTAGTATGCTCTCTGACGTGTAGTATGCTCTCTCACATGTAGTATGCTCGGGTTCAGGGTAGATAACTTACTAACTTTGGAGCCCACATGCATGTTCAGGGAACAAATCAAAGTAGTCCTCCTTTCAGTCATGATGACATTCCAGCTCTCTAGTCTACAGGGAGGCAGTTCTGTGGACGCTTCTCTGTAACATCATGGGTCCTAGCCATCCTTGCTTTCCTCCCATTACTAGCGCCTGGGTTCAGGTCCTTATCACCTCTCACCTGGAATATCCCTCCTGGGACAGATGCACAAGTCATTCATATTTAAGTGTTCTCAGCCTCTTTTCCATAAAAGGCTCTCATCTTTATCCCCAGAGCTTTATACCAGCCTCCAAGCAGAGCAGACTGCCAGGTGAGTGCCCAGGCTTGTGAGGTGCCAAGAGAGGAAACGGGAAGAAGGAGATAGGCCCCAGGGGCTGAGGGTGGGAAGAGCTGGCTTTGGAGTATGAGAAACTCCACAGTGGAGTCAAAAACTACTCACACAGTGTCTGTGAAGCTCCAAATACTATTCTAAAAACTACGGATGCAAGAATAAGCAAGATAGAATCCCTGCTCTCCAGGCACTCACCTTTAGGGAGTGTGGATTGCTGAAGAGAAAGAACTGCCAAGTTGTGTTGCTATTCCCTTTAGCAGTTTTGGAAGCACAAGGAAAGACTGGAATTGCTTTTTATTGTTGTTTCTTAGAATATGAGACCCTCAAGTTTCATAAGGCTGGGCCACATGCTGCCCTGGAATTTTTTATTATATAGTCATCTCTGAACTGGTTGCCAGACCTCCCACCTTGCCCTTTTCTACATTGCTACCAAAGGATGTCTCTAAAACACAAATCTGATCATGCTCTAAGTTAACCTTCCAGCTTAAATGCCTTTCATTGTTGCCCTTTGCTTCCAGAAGAAAGTGCAAGACTTTATTGATAGAGCCCTACCGACCCCTGGTCTGCTTTCTTGTCACAGCTCCCTACCCATCCCGTGGCTGCCACAAACTCAGGCAGAGCCCAGCCCTGGCACACACAGACCTCACACTCCAGCAGAGTGTTCTCAACACAAACGCTTTGCCCACAGTGATCTTGTCCCTGCCATCTCTTGGACTCTCCTCTCTGGAAAAGCATAGGCATCCTTCAAAATTCCATTCAAGAACGCCCTGTCTGGGAAGTCTTCCTGACCCACCCTAAGTGGAGCTAATCTCTCCACCCTCCCAGACTTGCTGTACTACTTAAATACACATATTATTGCCTTGGGTTTTGATTATTAATTCTGAATGATTCTGGCTGAAATCTCGGTTTTCCAGGGTTGATTAGACAGATATAACTGGTTGAGGAGGTAGCATCTTTTTTCCCCACATTGTTCCATATATTTTGGTTCCTTTTATCCATTTGTTCCCCCTCACACACTGTGCACCTCATGAAAATGGGAACCAGGATTGGAAACCCCATGGTGCCCAGTGCATACTAGAACTCCAAAGAATGAATGCATGTAGAATCAAAAAGAGACTGCTGGGGATGATCTCTGATTTGCATGAGCTGCCGGCTGAGCTCGGGAGTGAGAAGACCTAGGTGTGGCATATTTCTCCCCAAGATCTCTCTGCAGCCCCAGAGTCTTCAAGTATGAGTTGAAGCAGATGGAGGCTATAAGAAGAGGTCTCTGGTCAGAGATATGATTGAGGAGCAAGAGAAGATTCAGGAAGCCAATTCTGGTGATATTTCAAGTTTGTTTTTTCTCCTGTTTAATATGTTTAATATTTCTTTTTTTTAAAGATTTTATTTATTAGAGAGAGAGAGAGAGCACAAGCAGGGGAAGCAACAGGCAGAGGGAGAGAGAGAAGCAGACTCCCTGCTGAACAGAGAACCCGACACGGGACTCGATCCCAAAGACCCTGGGATCATGACCCGAGCCAAAGGCAGACGCTTAACTGACTGAGCCACCCAGGTGCCCCCTAATATGTTTAACTTTTTTTTTTTTTTTAAAGATTTTATTTATTTATTCATGAGAGACAGAGGCAGAGGGAGAAGCAGGCTCCCCGCAGAGCAGGGAGCCCGATGCGGGACTCGATCCCAGGACCCTGGGATCATGACCTGAGCCGAAGGCAGACGCTTAACGACTGAGCCACCCAGGCGTCCCGCTTTAATATGTTTAATATTTCTTAATATCGCATAAGCCGGGTATCTTCAGAATGCAGTGTGGTGTAAGTGCCACACACAGACTTAGCAAAGGGCACCAGGGAATGGCACTCACATCACACATCTGACTGCTGCAGCCAGAACTGCACGGAGCACAAATTGTAAATGCCGAGGCTCCAGGCTCAGTATGGCTCGAGGGCCCTTTGTCCCCGGTGGTGGCTCCAGGACGTTCTCCTCATGTCATCCCTGCTCCTTCTGTGGGCCAGGCTGCCGGCCAGCTTGGACCTGCCATTGCCAAGACGAGATTATCAAGGTCACTTAGGTTCACAATAAGCAATCCACCTGAAAAGTCTGGAGAATTGAAGGAAAATCCTCATTGTCTTTGTTTATGCTGATGATTGTCACATGCTCTTCTTTTGTTTGGTTTTAACATGGTTCACAAATTGATCGGGGGTCTGAGTGAGTCAACACTTTCCCAAAGTATTGATTCTAATCACATGGCTTGGCCGGTTCCGAGTGGTGACGCCGCTAACTGGGAACCGCAGGGTCCTCAAGCACTGTGTGCCTATGTCTGCAGAAAGTGATTGGGGCTCCCAAGACCCTCTGGATCCACACTGACACAGAGTGAAGCTCCTAGACCTGACCATTTGATGCTCCCGAGTACTGTGGTCACGACTGGAGCGGGCAGAGACAGCAGGCTGTGCGTTTGCTTCCCTCTGGTGTCAGGTCCTGGAGTGAGCCTCCGGACTCTGTCCTCTTACACTGGATGCATGGGTGCCTTCCAGCTTCACTCCCAGACTGTTCCTGGTCACCTAGCCCAGAAGGTAAGCTCATTTTTTCATTGAACACTGACCATAACCATGGCTAAAGTTTATAGAATGCTTACTCGGTGTTGCTCACTGGGCAACAGACTTTATAGAAGTGTGTCATTTAATCCACACAACAAGTAGGTACCATTAGTAGTATTCCTGTAGAAGGTGGGGGGTGGGGGATCCATGCTGGAGAGAAAGGAAACGGCCTAGTTAATGAGTTTCGGAGCTGGGATCACAGCCCAGATCTGCTGCCAAAGAGTGCAGGCTCCTAACCTCTGTGCCGCACGGCCTTCCTCACTGCAGATGAACTCTGAGATATGTTCAGATCCATGGCCCTCACCCGCAAACAGAGGTGTGCCTGGCCTGCTCCCAGGATCAAAGCTGTAGGCT